ATCGTTTCCCCCCGATTTTATTAGTTTTGAGATCGTTTGGCCCCAAAATCGTAATCATGATCAATTGATTTTGATTAGTTGAGCAGCCTTATTGTTCAGGCGTTGTAAAATAACACTGTAATTCTAATAATGCCTTACCTAATGTGTTCACGATGATGTTCTACCTGCAGAAGGTGCAGGAGCACGTGCAAAGAGTCCTGAAGGCTCAGTGTCGTCCCGGCAGCACCCGGCAGGCCTTGTTAGATCAACTCCCTGCTTCCAGTCACATGACGCAGCCCTTCCTGTGGAAAGACGTGCCGTTTCCCGATGAACTCTTCCTGTACTCGCCGCCATTTGGGTTCAAAGGTCTTCAGGGCAAAGTGGAAAACCTGCTGGAGCAGGTGGTGAACTTCTCTCTGCCTCTCAGTCTGTTATTTCTGTCTGATTTAGTCGCTACGCCACACATCTCATACACTGATGTTTAACGTAAAGAAGACACCTGACTGAAATAAAGGATGTTTTTAAAATCTGTAAACGTAGAAAGACGAGTAAGTAACAACTACAGTGTGACCAATGAGAGCGATGATGCAAATTCAAGATATCTGCAAATACTAGTTCACCACTTAATGTTCCTATAATGTCATTTTATAATACAACGGTGAAATAGATTGACTGGATTCACTGGAGATGGATTTCATTTATGACTAATCAAAAGTTAGGTGCAGTTTACTTCCTAACCTTAAAATAAAGATATCCTCATTTCGGTTTTGACTTATTTCAATTAAAAATACTTTGTTTGTCACAGTTAAAGATAGTCTGATCAGATCTTTGGACAGTGCACTTGTGGATATGTAGAACAGGGGGCAAAGGTCAAACTGAGAATCAGTGATGTCCTCCTGTTGACAGTAAACTGGCACGTTTGTTTCTCTGTGATATCAGATTATCCAGTTAACTATAATTCAATTCAGATGATGTTTTTTATTCATCTTCTAAAATAATTTAATCCCAGGAGCATTTTTACACTGGTGCCTGCGTGCCGTGTATCTGCTCCGATCACTCGCCCTCGTTATGTGGATCAACAGTCACACCGACTGATAAGCACTCACGTGGCTTCCACTGTGTCTTAATGCTCCTCGCACCGGGCGGCCAGGGTTTTAATTTAATTCATTAAACAGACAGGAAGGCCTTGTGTAACTCAGAACTCTGTCCCGACAGCTGGTAACACTGTTGAGCGAGCAGGATTTGATAACCACGTGCGCCTGTAGACAAAACACCTGCCTCCACCTCACTGCCTGGCATCTGTCCACAAGTGTAACCGGTTTAAACGTTTCAATCATTCGTTTGTTGACAATAACATCCCTTCTATTGTTTTAATCTGTTGACAGAACGACAGGTGACTTTAGCGTGACTGGAACTATTTGCATTTCTGTGTCTGGAGAGTATTTTTAGACACCATGTGAAAGGTGACAGTCACGGATAATAACAGTCCCAAAATTCACGTTTCCATCCAAATGAAGTGCAAATTTTAAGTGATTTATTAGAAAATATGCAAAAGAAACTGCAAATGAATGTGTGTTTCAGTCGAGAGAGAGAGAGAGAGAGAGAGAGAGATGATATAATTTAAAGATCAGATGTTCGCTCCAGTGGAGTGGAAGCTTCAGTGAAGTCTTTGAAGTGAGGACATTAACGTTTCCACTCCATCCAAGCATAAAAACACGTTTCCTTTTTAATTTAAATGTAAATAACAAGGAAATTCACAACGAATCTCTACATTTTGCAGCCCAGTGAAACAAAGATCATAAATCTTTGTTTAAGATTTATTTTATTTATTTGTTTATTATTTATTTATTTTGTTTGTTTAAATCTTTTCGTTTCAGAAACAACCAGCTAACGATTCTATCTGTGATTTGTTTCTTTAAAGCTGCAAGACTCTGACTCCGAACCGCAGCCAGGAAACGCCTCAGATAAATGTCGGCGATGTGTGGTCGTGGGAAACGGAGGCATCCTCAGAGGCCTGGAGCTGGGCCCACTGATCGACCGCTTTGACACCGTCATCAGGTTGGAAATAAAGCCGTGATACACAGTGGTCTTAGATATTACACAGATTATATGCCTGATTAACTGAAACCTACTTTCTCCCTCCTTCAGGTTAAACAGCGGCCCTCTGGGAGAGTTCAGCGCTGACGTTGGGAATCGAACCAGCATCAGGATGAGTTACCCAGAGGGCACCCCGCTGCAGTGGGTGGACACAGACCCACACACTCTGTTTGTAGCTGTGGTGTATAAAAGCGGAGACATCAGCTGGACCTCCGCTATGGTCAACAAGCTCTCTGTGGTAAGTCGTGGTTGTGCGCGTGCGTAAGAAAAAACCACAGTGAAGAGGGAAACCGTTCCATCGTTCATTCATCCAACGCAACACCGATCAGATGAGAGCTCAGCCGATTCCCTTCAACTATGCAAATTTGACAAAAGTGGTCCTGACTGAAAGATGCGTTCACATTAACCAACTTAAACTCAGGGAATAGTGCTACGAGCAAAGAAGAACACACTCCCTCTAACAGTAGACCGCTCTTGGTATAATGTTAATCACAACTCGAGTCGAGCACACACACACAGCCTGAAGCTAACATATTTATAATGGTTAGACCTGACTCACCAGCTCCGTTCAGTCTGCCCTGAATGCACCAGAGCCTGTTTTTATGATGCTCTGTCGTTGGTTTAATGATACGTAATAGTTTGGATGATTGTGTCTGTGCTTCGTTTGCATTCACTCTTCTTTCATGTTGTCTGTTGGTGATTCAAAAGCTGATCTGTAGTCTTGAGAAAGAATTATTTATATTAAAAAGAAAGCCAGCGCTGTTCACGATCAGAGTTTAAAGGA